GTAGGAACTTCCTAAATTTTCTATCCCCTCCTCCGGACAGTTTCCCTCAGGTCTGGCCTCTTGCTGTGAAGTGATCTTGCAGCTCATCAGTGGTTAGTTCATCATTGTCATCCTCCACCAAACTCTTCCACATCCCCCCACTAACCTCCAACCCTTGCAATGACCCTCTTTCTTCATATCCATAGTAATTCTCACCCTTTTGCTGTAGGGTTGGCACTAGAAGCTTTCTTGGGGCCCATGGTGACTTATTTTGCAGGTGCAATCACTAAAAACGCTGTGATAATATGAAATGTTCCGATTGTGTTTGGATGGGACTGCGGTGGCTGGGTGGTTTGTAAACACTGGCCACAAGTGGACGCGTCTCAAACGGAAAGAATCGTGTTGGTCGAGGTTTTTAGTGCTAGTCGAGGCAAAATTTTTGCATTAAAATGTATCGCTAGTCGGATTTAATGTTAGACGATGCCATCGTTGGTCGAGGGTCCACTGTACTTTTCATTGTAAAACCAGCCAAAATCATCTTAATTTCTGTAACACATCTTCCATTCAATAAAATGAGACCAGGAAAACTAGAATACAACAGTAAATACCATATGAAAATACAGTGCAAAGTCGCTGTTTTAAATCCAAAAACGTGGTCAAAGTTTTTTTCTCTCATTACGCACTGTGTGCTGCAGGATTTTTTTTATACTGTGCACACTGACCACAGACCCATTCTTTCATATGCAGGCCTACCAGCTTTCTCTCACTAGATTTGAGGGCGATAGAATTTAGGCGTACTAGTACGTCAAAAACCCTGGTGCGTAAGCCGTACTAGTACATCCAAAACCCTGAAAGGGTTAGATGATGATGAAAGTATTTTCTTTTTGGGGATTTTCTTTCTTTTTGGGTCACCCTGCTTCCGTGGGAGATGGCCGACTTGTTCAAAAAAAAAAAAAATATATACAGCTCACCATATAGAAGTAGAGTGGAACCTCAGTGTTCAAACATACCAGACCTTGAACGAACTGGAGTCTGAACAATGTTGTTCAGAAAAAAATTGACCCAGTCTTTGAACGTTTTCTCGAGTCCGACAACACCAGCTTCTTTACAATTCAGTTGTAAAAAAAAAAACTTGAGAGGAAAGCCATTTCAAAAGCGGGATAAAGGAATAACGGAAAAAGTTGGCAGATGGATCTACAACTTCCTGACAAACAGAGCACAAAGCGTAATAGTAAACAGAGTCAAGTCCCAGGCAGCCACGGTAAAAAGCTCTGTTCCACAAGGCACAGTACTTGCTCCCATTCTATTCCTCATCCTCATTTCTGACATAGACAGAGATGTAAGCCATAGCTCTGTGTCTTCCTTTGCAGATGACACCTGGATCACCATGGCAGTGACCTCCATCGAGGACACTGCGAGACTCCAAGCGGACATCAACCAAATCTTCGAATGGGCCACTCAAAACAATATGAAGTTCAATGAGGAGAAATTTCAACTACTCAGACATGGAAAACTTGAAGAAATTAAAAATGTGTCAGGGTATACCACAAATTCTAACCATACAACAGAGCAGAAAAGTAATGTGAAAGACCTGGGTGTGATAATGTCAGGGGATCTCACCTTCAAAGACCACAACATATCTACCTCATCCGCTAGGAAAATGAATGGATGGATAGTGAGAACCTTCCAAACTAGGGACGCCAAGCCCATGATGACTTCAAATCGCTTGTGCTCTCTAGGCTGGAATATTGCTGTACACTAATGGCCCCCTTCAAGGCTGGCGACATTGCAGATCTGGAGAGTGTACAAAGAACTTTCACGGCACACACAAGTGCAATAAGGCAACTAAGCTACTGAGAATGGTTGAAGGTCCTAGATCTGTATTCCCTCGAATGCAGGTGAGATACATGATAATATATGCTTGGAAGGTCCTGGAGGAATTGGTACCAAACCTGCACACGAAAATCACTCCATATGAAAGCAAAAGACTCGGCAAGAGATGCAACATTCCTCCGATGAAAAGCAGGGATGCCACGAGTACACTGAGAGACAACACAATAAGTGTCTGGGGCCTAAAACTATTCAACTGCCTCCCAGCATACATAAGGGATTTTACCAATAGACTCCTGGCTGTCTTCAAGAAGGCACTGGACAGGTACCTTAAGTCAGTACAGTGGACCCCCGCATTCCGTTGGCATCACATAACGTTTAATCCGCATACCGCTCGCTTTTATCGCAAAAATTTTGCCTCGCATACCGCTCAAAAACCCGCTCACCGCTGTTCGTCCGAGACGCGTCCAATGTGCGCCCTTAGCAAGCCTCGCATGTGCCGCCGGTGGCATTGTTTACCAGCCAGCCTCCGCGGTAACATCCAAGCATACAATCGGAACATTTCGTATTATTACAGTGTTTTTGGTGATTTTATCTGCAAAATAAGTGACCATGGGCCCCAAGAAAGCTTCTAGTGCCAACCCTACAGCAACAAGGGTGAGAATTACTATAGAGATGAAGAAAAAGATCATTGATAAGTATGAAAGTGGAGTGCGTGTCTCCGAGCTGGCCAGGTTGTATAATAAACCCCAATCAACCATCGCTACTATTGGTGGTACAGCTGCTGCTGCTGCTGTACCACTGTCAGCTGCTGCTGCTGCTGCTGTAGTACCATCTGCTGCTGCTGCTGCTGTAGTACTGTCTGCTGCTGCTGTAGCGTCGTCTGCTGCTGCTGTAGCATCGTCTGCTGCTGCTGCTGTAGCATCGTCTGCTGCTGCTGTAGCACTGTCAGCTGCTGCTGCTGTTGTACCACCGTCAGCTGCTGCTGCTGCTGCTGTAGTACCGTCTGCTGCTGCTGTAGTACCGTCTGCTGCTGCTGTAGCATCGTCTGCTGCTGCTGTAGCATCGTCTGCTGCTGCTGTAGCATCGTCTGCTGCTGCTGTAGCACTGTCAGCTGCTGCTGCTGTTGTACCACCGTCAGCTGCTGCTGCTGTAGTACCGTCTGCTGCTGCTGTAGCATCGTCTGCTGCTGCTGTATCACTGTCAGCTGCTGCTGCTGCTGCTGCTGCTGCTGCTGCTGCTGTAGCACCGTTGTTGGTGTGGCTTATTGAGAATACCAAGAAACAATTAACCCCAGAGGATTTGCCACCCAGGATAACCCAAAAAAGTCAGTGTCATCGAAGACATGTCTAACTTATTTCCATTGGGGTCCTTAATCTTGTTTCCCAGGATGCAACCCACACCAGTCGACTAACACCCAGGTGAACAGGGAAAAATGCCTGGAACTAGTGCTCATATTGGTGAATTTAAAGCCAGCAAAGGTTGGTTGAGAGATTTAAGAATCGTAGTGGCATACACAGTGTGATAAGGCCTGTTCTGGAAGAAAATGCCAAACAGGACCTACAGTACTCAGGAGGAAAAGGCACTCCCAGGACACTGTCTCATCAGTCATTGCTGCATCTTCAATAAAGGTAAGTGTCATTTATTCTTCATTTAGTAGAGTAGTACATGCACAATATATATTGTGCATGTACTACTCTACTATTGTGCAAGTATCCTTCTCTTTGTGTGTAGGAAAATGTATATTTCATGTGGTAAAATTTTTTTTTTCATACTTTTGGGTGTCTTGCACGATTAATTTGATTTCCATTATTTCTTATAGGGAAAATTCATTCGCATACCGATCATTTCACATAACAATGAGCCCTCTTGCACGGATTAAAATCGCTATGAGGGGGTCCACTGTACCTGACAAACCAGGCTGTGGTTCGTACGTCAGCTTGTGTGTGGCCAGCAGTAACAGCCTGGTTGATCAGACCCTGATCCACCATAAGGCCTGGTCTCAGGCCGGGCCGTGGGGGCGTTGACCTCCAACACCATCTCCAGGTAAACCTCCGACACAGACCCCTTTCAGGGTCAATGCAGTAGTTTTACAGCTTTGAATACAGTATCAGTGCCATAGGTCTATGTGACGAGCTCAGTTCACTCAGATAAGCTGTGAGCGGTAAATCTGGGCCTAGATATAAGAGAATGGGTGTGTGTGGTAAGTGTGCACCATAAAAAAAAGTCCTGCAGCACGAAGTGAATGAGAAAAAAACTGCAACCATGTTTTTGGTTTAAAACAGTGACTTTGAAGTGCATTTTCATATGGTTTTTATGGTTGTATTCACAGTTTCTTGGTCTCATTTGATAGAACTGAAGACATATTACAGAAACAAAGATGATTTTGATTGGTTTTAGGTCTGAATAGCCAATGTTCAAGAGTAAACAAATCACATCAATCGTCCAATACATGTCAACTCGTAGGTCTAATATGCATTCACAAATGTGCTGATATTATTTATACAATTATTACAATATTGCATAACTGTAAATCTTCTATTTTTTGATGCGAATTAAAATTCTTTGTGTGAATAAAAATCAAAATGGAATTCATATGTAAAGCCTGAGAACATAACTAATGAACAGAGGAAATGTTATTTTAGTGCCAGGAATGCCTGCGTTGTTTATTCTAAACCCTATTTTGAAATTGGAATATTTTGAAAGTTGTGTGAAATTGGCCAAATTACCAATTTCTGATCACTGTATTCAGCAGTTAAAACAGTTGAGTGGGCAGTTTCTTGTGCTCAATCAATAAATGGAAGGCATACTAGCAAAATAGCTAAGAATTTGGTCGACTGGAACAATGTAATTGGCCTAAGATAGGACTCAAAGTGGGCAAAATCACTGATGAATAAGTATTGCTGACACAGCAAAATTAGCAACTGCGTAATTTTGTCAATCTTCCATTAAATTTCATACTTTTTGTTGTATTACCTTCAGAAAAAGATTCTCTACCATTTCATAAGAAAAAATAAAATTTTTTTTTTTTTTTTTTTTAATTTTTGGACCCTGTAGACAAGTTTTGGATTAGGGATCTGGACCCTGAAAGGGTTGAAGCCTGAAAAATACTGTTTCGGACATTGACCTTCTCGCAGTTTGAACACCAAACACCACCTAGGAACCAATTAAGTTCAAACACCAAGATTCCACTATATAATGAACTTACTTTTAACTCCTAATGCAAAATTATCAGTCAGCTCTTCCTGATTAACATGGCGGGCGGCTTGGGAGAGGTAACGGGTCCATGGCTGATTTAAGGAGGACACGACCGCACCGTATGAAGTATTACGTTTGACTCTATCATGGTAGGCATCATATCCAATAACCATGGCATTCTGAAAATGTATTCATAAACCTCAACACATCTTAACTTGCTATAAGAAAGCAAAATTTAATTATTTTAGAGACCTTTATCACCTGATAAATATTGGGCCATTGTGCTAAAATGTGTTGATAAATTTTTACTTTTACTCAATGATCATCTGCCAAGGCAGATTTTTTTTTTTTTTTTTTTCCAACAAGTCGGCCGTCTCCCACCGAGGCAGGGTGACCCAAAAAAGAAAGAAAATCCCCAAAAAGAAAATACTTTCATCATCATTCAACACTTTCACCACACTCACACATTATCACTGCTTTTGCAGAGGTGTTCAGAATACAACAGTTTAGAAGCATATACATATAAAGATACACAACATATCCCTCCAAATCTGCCAAGGCAGATGACCTAAAGAAAACACATGCACCAGTCCAGCTAACCAGTCTCCCTGAATCCCTTCTTAAAAGTTATCGTCCTGATGAAACATCTAAATTAATAGAGTCAGCAGTAATCAACTCTTAATTTATCAATTCTGGGAAACCAGTTAGCTGCACTAGTCCTATAAAAATCCTGCAAATCTCAACAAGAGCACTCGACTCCAGCTTTACTATCATACCAGTTTAACATTAAAAAAAATCACACAGACACTTTAATAATGTTATCCTGGTTCATGACTAAAACTCTATCTTTTTCTGGTTTTGTTTGTTCTATGCCATACTCCTCATACATCCAGGCCACTGAAATGTCAGCCTCCAGTTTCCTTATTAATTCAAATTTTTGCTTAACAGTTAAGGTTGCATGCTTCATCTTGTCACTTTTTTTTTTTTTTTTTACACAATTAATTTTACAAGCTAAGAACTGTTATCCTACCTCAGCTCATTTCAAAGTCCCAGCCCTGTCTGAGGTATACTACCACTCCCCAGGATGTAACTCTCACCAATCAGCTAACATCCAGGTACTTATTTACTGCTAGGCAAACAGGGACAGCGGATGTAACGAAACATGTCCAATGTTTTAACTGTACTGGGGATTGAACCACAGAATCGATGTGTGAGCTGAGTGCACTACTAACCAAGCTACGTTATACTTTAATAAAATTAAAAACACAGTAAATCTAGTGAGAAATTGAAGAAATGATTATGGCGCGAGCACTCATATAGACAATAACACATTGATGAGGGTAGCCACTGACTGGCCCTGCTGCCCAGAAGCAATGAAAGTGCACACCTTCAGAAAGAACCTCAGAATGTACAAACATGCAATTAAGCAGAGACAGTCCACTTCATTGAATGAACAACAAGATCGGATAGCCATTTAGTATAAAGGATTTTCTCTACTTCATGACTATTTTAATTGGACACCCCATTACATGTACATGTAGAGCCTCCGTCCAGCCAAATTTCTTGTCCATTTTAACTGACATTCACTTAATGGAGATGTTTTACTGGACCTTTACTGTATCTTAAAATTCTGCTGACAATCACCCTGATACGGTATATACAGTATATGTATCATATATCTGATCACTATAATAGGCCTACTGTACTTGTTAATTTCAATGATAATTTAATGCAAAAAATATTATATTAAAATAATTAGTCTTGAAATTTTTAATAAGTGTTATATTTATCTACTCACCTTAATGGGGACTGCGACACTCCATGGATCACCACCCAGTTTGCAATTAATCTGAATAGCAACTTTTGTGGCTACTGACATCAGACGCTGCTTTTTGAAGAGTGTTCTGCTCAGGATACACTGCAACAATTATTACAAAAAATATAACACAAGTTCTTACATAAATATATAACTCTAAAGTGGGAAAATATAAAAACAACAACAGCCAAGGATAAGATGTAAAGTTCAACATCAAAGAATGAAAATAACTTAAGAGGCGGCAGAGAAAAGCCAATGTTAAGGAAGGATATGCAATCAATTCTAATGATAAGAATGACACCCAGTGAATGTAAGAAAATCTCTCACAAGATAACCACCTAAATATTTTGCAAAGTTACAGATGGTACTTTTCTGAAATTACTTCTGAATGAATTAAGCACTCAACTCTCAACCAATTTACTGGCTGCACATTAACTAGTCAGCAAAGCTGGAATATTAACCCTTTCACTGTCCAGATCCCAAAATTAACCCTTTCACTGTCCGGACCCCAAAATCAACCTTTTCATGTTTGTCATGCAGAATTACGTTATGGATGCCACTGATCTACATCATGAGCTCAGATCATGATGTAGATCTATGGCAATAAGTTTTGGCCTAGATATGAGAGAATGGGTTAATGTGGAGTATGTGCAGTTAAAAAAAAAAAAGTCATGCCTTACATGGTGCACAATGTAAAAAGCAAAACTCTGATAAAATGGAAGACATGCTACTGAAGTAGAAATGATTTTAGTCGATTCCAGGACTGGAAGTATCTTGAAATCTGCCTCAAAGTAGAGGAAACATTCAGTTTTTGACAATATTCATGTAGACGGGTAAGACTTCCCCTATACTTCCCCGTCTGTTTTATGGGTTTTTACTAGGTCTGATTTAATTATTGGGATGCCATAAACCATGATATATTTAACCCCTTCAGGGTCCAAGGCCCAAATCTGAAGTGGTGCCCCAGTGTCCAAGAATTTTAAAAACAAAAAATTTTTATTTTTTCTTATGAAATGGTAGAGAATCTTTTTGTGAAGGTAATAAAACAAAAAGTACGCAATTTGATGGAAAACTGACGAAATTATGCTCTCACGAATTTTGATGTGTCAGCGATATTTACGAATCGGCGATTTTGCCGACTTTGACTCCCATTTTAGACCAATTACATTATTCCAGTCAACCAAATTCTTAGCTATTTCACTAGTATTACTTCTACTCTATCGATTGAGCACAATAAATCGCCAAGTCAACTGTTTCAACTACAAATTAAAGTGATCAGAAATTGGTAATTTGGCCAATTTAACACAAAGTTCAAAATATTCCAATTTCAAAATAGGGTCCAGAATAAACATTGTAGGTATTCCTGGAACTAAACTAACATTTCCTCTGTTCATTAGTTATGCTTTGAGGCTTTACAAATAAATTCCATTTTGATTTTTTATTCACATAATGAATTTTTATTCACACCAAAAAATAGAAGATTTACTGTTATGCAATACTGTAATAATTGTATAAATATCATCACCATATTTATGAATGTATATTAGACCCACCAGCTGGCATGTATTAGACGTGTGAGGTCGTTTGTTTACTCTTGAATATCGGCAAAAATTTAACATTTCTGCTGCTTTGAGCTCAGTTTCAAGCCATTTCCAGTGCTAAAACCAATCAAAATCATCTATGTTTCTGTAATATGTCTTCCATTCTATCAAATGAGACCAAGAAATCGCAAATACAACTATAAAAAACATACGAAAAAACACTGCAAATTTGCTGTTTTAATCGAAAAATCATGATTTCAGTTTTTTTTCTCTCATTATACACAGTGTGCTGCAGGATCTGTTTTATGTGGTGCACACATACCACATAGATGTATTCTCTCATATCTAGGCCCAAATGTACCACTCACAGTTTATCAGAGTGAGCTGAGCTCATGACGTAGATCTACGGTTTGGACCCTGAATGTAAAGCCGTAGATCTACGGGACGGACCCTGAAAGGGTTAAACCCAAGAAATAGGATAAATCTTTATTTTTTTGTAATGATGAATTCAAAATAAAAGACAAGTGTGATACAGAGGCCTGGAGACATGATTATTGAACAAAGGATATATTGTTATAGTGCTTGGAAAGTCTGCAGTGATTATTTTGAACCATTTTTAAACTGGATTTTTTACAGTTTTGTGTAAAATTGGCCAAATTACCAAATTCTGTGCATTTTATAGGGCAGTTCTGATAGTTGAATGGGCAGTTTCTTGTAATCAATCAACAGAACAGAAGGCACACTAGCAAAATAGCCGAGAATTTGGTCGGCAAAATTTTGCTACTTCCAGTCCTGGAACCAACCAAAATTATCTCTACTTCAGTAGTGTCTTTCATTCCATTCAATGATACTATGAAACAGACAATACAACCATAAAAAACATCCTGGTCAAACTTGCTATTTTAAACCAAACACAAGGTCAGAGTTTTATTTTCCCATCAAGCACCTCATGAAGCAGGATTTTTTTTTTTTAAACTGCAAACTCACCACACACAAATTCTCTTATGGACCAAAATTTACCGCTCATAGCTTATCTGAGTGAGCCAAGCTCATGACATACATCTATGTGACGGACCCTGGCATCAATAACGTAGTTAAATAAAGAATGTACAATAAAATATTTTTTTTTAAATATATAAGACACAAGTATTCAAAACTTTAATGATTTAAATAAACATTAATTCACTAACCTGACTAGGAATGCCCATTTTATTGCTGAGGTGGCGTTTGATAGCACTATACCTATCAGCCCGATTATTCGGTAGAATTGCCAGAACAAGTTGTTTTCCGGCACACTGGTTCAATAAACTTACATATTCCTGAGCACTATCACCATGCAAAGTAAATCTGTAAATGATGTCCTGCCTTGAAACCACAATGAGGTTACGATTAAACTAACTCTAAATACCACTTAACATTTTATTTATAATGTAGTTTAAAAAATATAACATTCCTATTTAGACTGAACAGTGTCTGTTTTACAGCTAATTGCTTGTCACTGTCATATTTGTTTTAATGCACACTAGTTTAATGAATGTTAGTCTTAAGTCTGCCCAAAATGTACTGTAGTTATAGGTTGTTCCATGTATTGCATAACATATAATTTATGTACAAGTAAATAAAATCATTCATGACAAGAATTAAAAAAAAAAACTTAAAGAACAAACCAAAATTGTTTATATGTAATACTGTGTAATGTCATGGAAAATAAACTTTACAGCAACTGCTGTTTCCCCTTCTACTACTACTGATTGTCAAGGTTTTCTCAATAGTTACATATGTAGAAAATGATAAAATTTATATACAAGATTAAATGTCTTTCATTTATGAACAGCCATTTGATTTTTTATCTGTAAGGAGAGATAACTAAAAGGTAATAGTAGCACAGTACAGCAGTGACAACACATACATAGTCCAGTATACTGTAACTTTGGGCAAGTACATATAGGGTCACCAATGGATTAACATACAAGTTCAATGTTAGCTTTTCGAATGAGAAGTTTGCCCCCTCAATGTGACTGTCATCTATTAGGAAAAATTAACCAATTAAAGTTGAAGTTTTGACAGTAAAGACTGAGATCCAAAACCTTGTCATTTATGGTTGTATACAAGCCTCCTGATGCAACTTCCCAATAATTCCAGGAACAGCTTTTGAAAATTGACTACTGTCTGGAAAATCTTCCAACTCCTGCCCCAACATCCTGCTTGAGCGATTTCAACTTTAGACACCTACAATTGACGAATGTAGCAAATAATGTTTTAGCAGAGAGAACCCCAGGAGGCAGTTCAGATGAAAATTCACACACACATCAGTTATTTAATCTCTGCAACAAATTCACCTTTAGCCAGTAAATTGTGGAGTCACGAAGACTGGAAAATACACTTGACCTCATCTTCACTAATAATGATGACCTAATACGAAATGTAACAGCATCAAAGACAATACACTCAAATCGTAACATAAAAAAAGTACAAACATGTACAGTGGACCCTCAGATATTGGCCGTTCCGGATATTGGCCAATTCAGATTTCAGCCGCTTTTTTTGGCCGAAATTCCATCCTGGATTTCAGCCGGCAACTCGGAAATCAGCCATATCGGATGCATCTGCCCGCCACTCCACCACACTCATGAGTCAGTCTGGTTGTGTCTCTGGGTGAGTGAGCAAGATTCCACACACTCATCCAAACATTTCATTATAATCCATTATTTTTTGTGGTTGTTTATCGAGTGCAACTTCGAAATAAGCCACCATGGGCCCAAAGAAAGTTCCTAGTGCCAGCCCTTTGGTAAAGGAAGTGAGAAACACGATAGAATTGACTGTGGTAGTGATGGTGGTAGAGGGTGGTAGTGGCTGTGATGGTGGTAGAGGGTGGTAGTGATGGTGGTTGAGGGTGGTAGTGATGGTGGTAGTGATGGTGGTTGAGGGTGGTAGTGATGGTGGTTGAGGGTGGTAGTGATGGTGGTTGAGGGTGGTAGTGATGGTGGTTGAGGGTGGTAGTGATGGTGGCTGAGGGTGGTAGTGATGGTGGCTGAGGGTGGTAGTGATGGTGGCTGAGGGTGGTAGTGATGGTGGTTGAGGGTGGTAGTAGTTGTGATGGTGGTAGAGGGTGGTAATGATGGTGGTAGAGGGTGGTAATGATGGTGGTTGAGGATGGTAGTAGTTGTGATGGTGGTAGATGGTGGTAGAGATAACAAGAGTCTTCAATAAAGGTATGTAATGTTCATTTATTATTAAAATTAGTGCTTTATATTTCTTTCTCATTTATTTTGTGTATGCACAACTACGGTAAATCTTTAAAAATGTATTTTTTGTTAATATTTTTGGGTGTCTGGAACAGATTAATTGTATTTACATTAATACTTATGGGAAATATTATTTCAGTTTTCGGCCTTTTTGGATTTAGGCCAACCTTCTAGAACGGATTACAGCCGATAACCGAGGGTCCACTTTATGCGCATGGCTCCTGACCAGCGTAAGATCTGTTATGAGGGTGCCTCCACCAAATTCAACATCAATAACAAAAACATAGTGGGATTAAATCAACCACGTCCTAAATGAAACAAGCTGGGAAGATATCCTAAACAACATGGATCCGAAGCTTTGCCTAGAAAGAATCAACTCTTTGGCACTTGAGGTATGCTCATGTCACATTCCTTTAAGAAAAAAGAAGAGATGTAAACTAGAAAGAAAGAGATGCTCCCTATACAGGCAAAGGCAAAGAATCACAGAGATGCTGAAAGGGGCCAGTATAACTGAAATAAGAAAGGAGGCACTGGTCAGAGAAATAGCCGATATCAAACGTAAGGGTTTGAGTAAGAGAAAACATTAGTGGTGTTATCTACAAATATAAAGGCGAAGAGAGTGGTGAGAGAGTGCAGGAGAGCAGATGATAGAGTGGGAGAGGCACTGTCAAGAAATTTTAATGAAAATAAGAAAAATTTTTAGAGCGAGTTAAACAAGTTAAGAAAGCCTAGGGAACAAATGGATTTGTCAGTTAAAAACAGAGTAGGGGAGATAGAAGATGGGGAGATGGTGGGAATATTTTGAGGAACGTTTAAATGTCTACGAAGAAAGGGAGGCGGTAATTTCATGCATTGGCCAGGGATGTATACCATTTCTTAGGAGTGAAGAAGAGCAGGATGCGAGTGTGGGGGAGGCGTAGAATAAAATTCAAATTCAAATTCAAAGTTTATTCTCTATAAAGATTACAATGTTGAATTTACAGAATTTGGTTGTTGTGTGGGGTAAAGGGGGTAAAGCAGCTGGAACTGACGGGATCATGACAGAAATGTTAAAAGCAGGGGGCAGATATAGTGTCAGAGTGGTTGGTATTTTTGTTTAACCCTCTAACTGTCGCAAGCCCCTTTCTGAAACTCATTCTATGTCGCAAAATTTTTGGAAAAAAAAAAAAAAAATTATTTTCTTATGAAACGATAGAGAATCTTTTCCTGATGGTAATTACACCAAAATTACAAAATTTGGTCAAAGACTCATGGAATTACGCTCCCGTGAAGTTAGCAGTCTCGGCAACATGCACGCATCGGCGATTTCACCAACTTTGAGTCCTGTTTTTGGCCAATTCCGTTGTTCCAGTTGACCAAACTCATAGCTATTTCTTTAGAACAATATTTTTTTCTACCAGTTGAGTACAAGAATTCGCCCATTTACCAATTTGAACTACCCAATAAAGTGGTCAGAAATTGGCAATCTGGCCAATTTCACGCAAATTAAAAAAGATGCCAATTTCAAAATAGGGTCCAGAATAAACAATGTAAACATTCTTGGCACTAAAATAACATATCCTCTGTTCATTAGTCACGTTTCTAGGCCCCTCTTATATTACTATTGCTTTCTATTTTGATTTTATATTCATACAAAAAATACAAAATTTACTGTTATGCAGAATACTGCATTATTGTAAAAATGGTATAAATAATATCAGTGCACTAGTGAGAGAATATCAGACTCCCCAGTTGACATGTATTGGACATGTGGTGTGATTTGCTTACTCCTGAACACTGGTAAAAATCGAACATTTCCGCTAATTTGAGCTCAATTCCAAGGTCATTTTCATCGTGAAACTAATCAAAATCATCTCTATTTCTGTAATATGTTTTCCATTTTATCACCTGAGACCATGAAAACGAGAATTGTGGCATGCAAAGAGTACGTAACCTTTATTCGGCACATGTACACACCCTCATTTACAGGCTATCTCCCCAACCAGCGAACCAGGTTGCTAAGAGTTGATGATGGGGTCCCATTGTTCAACTAGTGACCAGGTTCTAGCCAATAAGAAGATGGTTTTGGCAATCGCAGAGGTTATGTGGGTACCGCTCTCCTGTCTGCCCTTGTCATTCCCATTCTAGAGCTGGTTGAAGCACGGTCTTCTATCTTGTGGCTTCTATTTCTGCCTTGCTTACCGTGGAGTGCACTATACTTATCACTGTACATAGTGTACATATTGCTGTTCTAAATTGGTGAAGTATAATATAAGCCTAAACTTTTTCTGCTGTGTTTATTTTGCTCCCATTACACCCGGGATAACAGGCCATTTGGATTCCTGGGTTGTAATAAGAATACAACGATAAATACTATACGAAAGTACACCTCAAAGTCGGCGTTTTAATCCAAAAAAAACAGTACGTTTTTTTTTCTCATTATGCACCGCGAGCTGCAGGATTTTTTTTTATGTGGCGCACACTAACCATAGAGACCAATTCTCTCACATGTGGGCCTACCAGTTTTCTCCTGCTTGATTTGAAGCCGCTAGAATTTATGCGTATAAATACGTCTGAAACAGTGGCGCGTAAGACATATATACGACCAAAACAGTCAAAGGGTTAATATATGTATGAAAGAGGGGAAGGTTCCTAGGTATTGGCAGAGAGCATGTATAGTTCCTTTATATAAAGGGAATGGGGACAAAAGAGATTGTAAAAATTGTAGAGGAATTAGTTTACTGAATTATTATTTTTATTATCACACTGGCCGATTCCCACCAAGGCAGGGTGGCCCGAAAAAGAAAAACTTTCACCATCATTCACTCCATCACTGTCTTGCCAAAAGGGTGCTTTACACTACAGTTTTTAAACTGCAACATTAACACCCCTCCTTCAGAGTGCAGGCACTGTACTTCCCTTCTCCAAGACTCAAGTCCGGCCTGCCGGTTTCCCTGAACCCCTTCATAAATGTTACTTTGCTCACACTCCAACAGCACGTCAAGTATTAAAAACCATTTGTCTCCATTCACTCCTATCAAACACGCTCACACATGCCTGCTGGAAGTCCAAGCCCCTCGCACACAAAGCCTCCTTTACCCCCTCCCTCCAACCTTTCCTAGGCCGACCCCTACCCCGCCTTCCTTCCACTACAGACTGATACACTCTTGAAGTCACTCTGTTTCGCTCCATTCTCTCTACATGTCCAAACCACCTCAACAACCCTTCCTCAGCCATCTGGACAACAGTTTTGGTAATCCCGCACCTCCTCCTAATTTCCAAACTACGAATTCTCTGCATTATATTCACGCCACACATTGCCCTCAGACATGACATCTCCACTGCCTCCAGCCTTCTCCTCGCTGCAACATTCATCACCCATGCTTCGCACCCATATAAGAGCATTGGTAAAACTATACTCTCATACATTCCCCTCTTTGCCTCCAAGGGCAAAGTTTTGTCTCCACAGACTCCTAAGTGCATCACTCGCCCTTTTCCCCTCATCAATTCTATGATTCACCTCATCTTTCATAGACCCATCCGCTGACATGTCCACTCCCAAATATCTGAATACATTCACCTCTTCTCTTCTCCCACCCTGCCTTGGTGGGAATCGGCCAGTGTGATAATAATAAAATAATATATTCACCTCCTCCATACTCTCTCCCTCCAATCTGATATCCAATCTTTCATCACCTAATCTTTTTGTTATCCTCATAACCTTACCCTTTCCTGTATTCACTTTTAATTTTCTTCTTTTGCACACCCTACCAAATTCATCCACCAATCTCTGCAACTTCTCTTCAGAATCTCCCAAGAGCACAGTGTCATCAGCAAAGAGCAACTGTGACAACTCCCAGTTTATGTGTGATTCTTTATCTTTTAACTCCACGCCTCTTGACAAGACCCTCGCATTTACTTCTCTTACAACCCCATCCTGAATATACCAGGAAAAGTGTACGGTAGGGTTATTATTGAAAGAATTAGGAGGTTTTAGAGTGGGTAGGGGATGTATAGATCAAGTGTTTACATTGAAGCATATATGTGAACAGTATTTAGATAAAGGTAGGGAAGTTTTTATTGCATTTATGGATTTAGAAAAGGCATATGATAGAGTGGATAGAGGAGCAATGTGGCAGATGTTGCAAGTATATGGAATAGGTGGTAAGTTATTAAATGCTGTAAAGAGTTTTTATGAAGATAGTGAGGCTCAGGTTAGGGTGTGTAGAAGAGAGGGAGACTATTTCCCGGTAAAAGTAGGTCTTAGACAGGGATGTGTAATGTCACCATGGTTGTTTAATATATTTATAGATGGGGTTGTTAAGGAAGTAAATGCTAGGGTGTTTGGGAGAGGGGTGGGATTAAATTATGGGGAATCAAATTCAAAATGGGAATTGACACAGTTACTTTTTGCTGATGATACTGTGCTTATGGGAGATTCTAAAGAAAAATTGCAAAGGTTAGTGGATGAGTTTGGGAATGTGTGTAAAGGTAGAAAGTTGAAAGTGAACATAGAAAAGAGTAAGGTGATGAGGGTGTCAAATGATTTAGATAAAGAAAAATTGGATATCAAATTGGGGAGGAGGAGTATGGAAGAAGTGAATGTTTTCAGATACTTGGGAGTTGACGTGTCGGCGGATGGATTTATGAAGGATGAGGTTAATCATAGAATTGATGAGGGAAAAAAGGTGAGTGGTGCGTTGAGGTATATGTGGAGTCAAAAAACGTTATCTATGGAGGCAAAGAAGGGAATGTATGAAAGTATAGTAGTACCAACACTCTTATATGGGTGTGAAGCTTGGGTGGTAAATGCAGCAGCGAGGAGACGGTTGGAGGCAGTGGAGATGTCCTGTTTAAGGGCAATGTGTGGTGTAAATATTATGCAGAAAATTCGGAGTGTGGAAATTAGGAGAAGGTGTGGAGTTAATAAAAGTATTAGTCAGAGGGCAGAAGAGGGGTTGTTGAGGTGGTTTGGTCATTTAGAGAGAATGGATCAAAGTAGAATGACATGGAAAGCATATAAATCTATAGGGGAAGGAAGGCGGGGTAGGGGTCGTCCTCGAAAGGGTTGGAGAGAGGGGGTAAAGGAGGTTTTGTGGGTAAGGGGCTTGGACTTCCAGCAAGCGTGCGTGAGCGTGTTAGATAGGAGTGAATGGAGACGAATGGTACTTGGGACCTGACGATCTGTTGGAGTGTGAGCAGGGTAATATTTAGTGAAGGGATTCAGGGAAACCGGTTATTTTCATATAGTCGGACTTGAGTCCTGGAAATGGGAAGTACAATGCCTGCACTTTAAAGGAGGGGTTTGGGATATTGGCAGTTTGGAGGGATATGTTGTGTATCTTTATATGTGTATGCTTCTAGACTGTTGTATTCTGAGCATCCTCTGCAAAAACAGTGATAATGTGCGAGTGTGGTGAAAGTGTTGAATGATGATGAAAGTATTTTCTTTTTGGGGATTTTCTTTCTTTTTTGGGTCACCCTGCCTCGGTGGGAGACGGCCGACTTGTTGAAAAAAAAAAAAAAAAAAAAAATCTTGTTTTCCAGTGACTTCATTAGTGAGACTTCAGTAGGATTAATAGGGGATAGATATAAAGTACTTGGGTAATTTCCAGTGAGGAGTTTTGCCTGTGTATTTGAGGTTGGGATTTTACTTGCTAATTTTGATCCTATAGTAGAAAAAAAGATACTGAGTTTGTTGGCAGTGTCTGCAGGCTGGATGTGTGGTTCATCTGGTTTAGTTAAGTTTATATCTCTGTTGCTGGACAGTTTTCTAGAGCCCAAGAATTTTGAATTTTGTGTGAAATTGGTCAAATTATTAATTTCTGATCACTTTATTGTGTAGCTGAAATAGTTAAATGGGCAGTTTCTTGTACTTAGTAGAATGAATAGAAGGCATACTAACAAAATAGATAAGAGTTTGGGCAACTGGAACATGGAATTGGCCTAAAATAGGACTCAAAGTGGACGAAATCACCAATGCTTAAATAATGCTGAGACCGCTACCTTTGCAAAAGCATAATTCCAAGAGTTTCCATCAAATTTCGTACTTTTGGTGTCATTACCTTTGGAAAGATTCTGTATCATTTCATAAGAAATATTTTTTGCTTTGTTTCAGAAAATTCTTGGACCCTGAGAGCAATTTTCAGATACAGGGTTTGAACCCTGAAAGAGGTAAATAAACCTGACAGACTTACCTGGCAGGACTGCTAATATTTATGCCCATGGGTGCTCCAACACGCTGCAAACAAGTAATCAGTTCATGTGCATCATCATTAAATTTCAATGGGTAGATAACTGCCCAGTTCTGAAGATCAACAGGTGTATTGAGTACCATTGCTGAAAACAATCAAATCATGACATACTTAAAGATGTCTGTGCCCCTTCTGAAAAGGCAGTAATTCTAAATATTTTCTCTCAATAAATTTTAAACTATGTACACCAACTTAATGCCTGTTAAGTTTTCTAACTTCAATAATAATGTTTTTACTGATTAATAATTATTATTTTATTTTATCATGATACAATGTTTGTAGAGAGATGTGTGACATTTTAATTATGCATGCAGAAAGTCCATAGGCATGCAGACTACAATGGCAATAACTAATTGCATGGTGGCCCAGACTAATCTCAGGAATGGTAGGATAAATGGTTCCTCAAATTATACCCAAGCAAAAGTAAATCTGTGGAGCTAAGAAAGAGGTAGAGGAAAGACAACATACCACCTGGGGATAAGGAAAACATTAACAATTGAGGAATATAAAAAGACCTTGGGGTAACCATTATCCCAAACCAATTTCATGAAAAGTGTACAAGAATAATATCAGCTGCATAAGCTAAACTATAGACATGTAATAGGCTATCAGGTTCTACAAAACCTGAGCTAAGCTGAGCCGAGATCACAACACTGATCTATGTGACAGATCCTGGTATCAATAACGTAGTTCTATACAATTGACAGTGAAAAGGTTAAAGTGATGTACCTAGTCCAGTTTATTTCTACAGCTGTTAAACACATTCATAATGGATAACAGAGTAAGTAAGTGTTTAAATGCTCTGTTGTATTATTATTATAATCAAAAAGAAGCACTAAGCCACAAGGACTATACAGCTGCTCTGTTGTAGTGGTAGTAAAATCGGCATTCTCATCATAGAGATTAACCTATGCCTTGCTAGGTAAGGCAAAATATTATTTGACTAATAAAAGGAGGTAATGTGTATGAGCAAGCCTCCTATATGTCTGATATAGTTTGATAAGGAAATATGGCTTAAAGAACAGTCACAATACTGAGGCTATAGTATCAATAACTGGAAAAGTTGGAGAGAGGGGGTAGAGGAGGCTTTGTATGCAAGGGAAGCTGACATCCAGTATGCGTGTGTGAGCATGTTACATAGGAGTGGGTGAGGCAAGTGGTTTTCTGACCTGATGAGCCATTAGTGTGAGAGCAGGGCAACATTTTGTGAAGAGACTCAGGGAAACTGGTTAGCCAGAATGGAGTCCTGGAGCTGGGAAGTATAGTGCCTGCGCTCTGAAGGAGGGGTGGGGATATCTGCAGTTTGGAAGGGCATCTGAACTATAGTTTCAGCATGCCTCTGGCAAGAGTAATGAGAGTGAATGATGATGGAAGTGCTTCCTTTTTGGGCCACCCTACCTCGGTTGGAGATGGCTAGTGTTAAAAAAAATAAGAATAAGAACAAGAAAGTACTAGAGGAACCTTATGATGATCATTCAGTTCATCCTGGACCACTGTCAAGTCACAATGATCCAGGAAGACCAAAACATCCCAAAATGTCGTCGGAAGTTGCTGTCCTTCAGAAATGTAGCTTAATTTATGATATGCTAAGGGATCCAACTGATGCCATCTCCTTGGGAAGCAAGGCTCAGTGCAGCACAAGCTGTGACAGGTCTATGAATCTCAAACATGAGTGAAACTGCATCCCATATTTTTGTATTTATTTTTTTTTTGCTTTGGCTTTATCAAATGCATGTATCTTTGATGTAAGTTTACCCGGCATAGAGTATGGGTATAACGAGTTCCTACATGGTTCGTCAATTTTGATAACTGTGGTTTTCATTTATACGATGTTAACACAACAAGCATGTGTCAGTTGATAAACCTCATCACATCCAAGTCGGCACAGTAGGCCCACAATAAACCTTCTCACACTCTTCAAAGGTTCAAATAATGACTTATAGAATATAAACTGTTTCATGTAGTAAAATTTAAAAAAACAGTTTGACAAGTTTTGAGGTATCTAAAACATATCATATTTTCCCCGTATGTTCTTCATATCACTTAGGGTTATTGTAGAATAAACACTGAATTTCAGGAACACAACCCTCAAGTTAATCAATGGTTTTCACAGCACTCAAAATTAAAAACTAGGCAATAACTATAAATGAGTTAATTACAATAATACATCCTAATTATTGAAATTCTTCCCAATATAGAAGAGACGAGTTACTCACAGCGCATCTCTTTAGACCAGTCGGAGGTTTTACGATTAAAGCTAATACTATGCTTTCCTACTATGATCTGTTCCTCAGGCAGTATACGCCCTTGTACTTTCATCAAGGATGAAGACAGCTGTAGACCCCAGTGGGTCATCTCTTCTCTAACCTAAAAAAAAAAAAATTACATTAAAGTAGGATATTAAGAGAACAAAAAGTGTACCTGGAGAGAGAAATTTAGTAAATTACTTAGTAAATAAAAGGATATCGATCGCAAAGTTGTGATGCACTCGGATGGCTTGTTTTAATTTTGTTGCTCAAGTAGCACAAAATTTATATTAAAAATTTCATCATTATTGCTACCAATGCTATACATTAAGCATAAACAATAAACAGAATATCTACGTACTACATTTTTTTTTATCCAGGAACTTTACAACTACTGTGCAGATGAAAATGATTAAGTTTACTGTAAAGGTTAGATAAATAAGACAAATGTAAGACTATAATAAGAGCATATAATTTACAAAAAAAAAAAAACAAATCCCAGGAGAATAAAAATGAAGTAACTTTGTTTCTCTTGATAACAGAGAATGGCGACTGTATAAAACTAAACTGGAAACAGCTAATGGTAACTCGTGTTTTACTTGGAGTTTACCTGGAGAGAGTTCCGGGGGTCAACGCCCCTGCGGCCCGGTCTGTGACCAGGCCTCCTGGTGGATCAGAGCCTGATCAACCAGGCTGTTACTGCTGGCTGCACGCAAACCAACGTACGAGCCACAGCCCAGCTGATCAGGAACCGACTTTAGGTGCTTGTCCAGTGCCAGTTTGAAGACTGCCAGGGGTCTGTTGGTAATCCCCCTTATGTATGCTGGGAGGCAGTTGAACAGTCTCGGGCCATTGACACTTATTGCATGGTCTCTTAACGTGCTAGTGACACCCCTGCTTTTCATTGGGGGGATGTTGCATCGTCTGCCAAGTCTTTTGCTTTCGTAGTGAGTGATTTTCGTGTGCAAGTTCGGTACTAGTCCCTCTAGGATTTTCCAGGTGTATATAATCATGTATCTCTCCCGCCTGCGTTCCAGGGAATACAGGTTCAGGAACCTCAAGCGCTCCCAGTAATTGAGGTGTTTTATCTCCATTATGCGCGCCGTGAAGGTTCTCTGTACATTTTCTAGGTCAGCAATTTCACCTGCCTTGAAAGGTGCTGTTAGTGTGCAGCAATATTCCAGCCTAGATAGAACAAGTGACCTGAAGAGTGTCATCATGGGCTTGGCATCCCTCGTTTTGAAGGTTCTCATTATCCATCCTGTCATTTTTCTAGCAGATGCGATCGATACAATGTTATGGTCCTTGAAGGTGAGATCCTCCGACATGATCACTCCCAGGTCTTTGACGTTGGTGTTTCGCTCTATTTTGTGGCCAGAATTTGTTTTGTACTCTGATGAAGATTTAATTTCCTCATGTTTACCATATCTGAGTAATTGAAATTTCTCATCGTTGAACTTCATATTGTTTTCTGCAGCCCACTGAAAGATTTGGTTGATGCCCGCCTGGAGCCTTGCAGTGTCTGCAATGGAAGACACTGTCATGCAGATTCGGGGGTCATCTGCAAAGGAAAGATATGGTGCTGTGGCTGACATCCTTGTCTATGTCAGCAATGAGGATGAGGAACAAGATGGGAGTGAGTACTGTGCCTTGTGGAACAGAGCTTTTCACCGTGGCTGCCTCGGACTTTACTCTGTTGACTACTACTCTCTGTGTTCTTTTTAGTGAGGAAATTATAGATCCATCGACCGATTTTTTCCGTTATTCCTTTAGCACGCATTTTGTGCGCTATTACGCCATGGTCACACTTGTCGAAGGCTTTTGAAAAGTCTGTATATATTACATCTGCATTCTTTTGTCTTCTAGTGCATTAGACCTTGTCGTAGTGATCCAATAGTTGAGACAGACAGGAGCGACCTGTTCTAACCCATGTTCCCCTGGGTTGTGTAACTGATGGGTTTCTAGATGGGTGGTGATCTTGCTTCTTAGGACTCTTTCAAAGATTTTTTATGATATGGGATGTTAGTGCTATCGGTCTGTAGTTTTTGCTGTTGCTTACTGCCCCCTTTGTGGAGTGGGGCTATGTCTGTTGTTTTTAGTAACTGTGGGACGACCCCCGTGTCCATGCTCCCTCTCCATAGGATGGTAAAGGCTCGTGATAGGGCTTCTTGCAGTTCTTGATGAAACACGGAGTTCCATGAGTCTGGCCCTGGGGCAGAGTGCATGGGCATGTCATTTATCGCCTGTTCGAAGTCATTTGGCGTCAGGATAACATCAGATAGGCTTGTGTTAACCAAATTCTGTGGCTCTCTCATAAAAAATTCATTTTGATCTTCGACTCTCAGTCTGGTTAGTTGGCTTGCTAAAAACTGAGTCATATTGGGACTTGAGTAGCTCACTCATTTCCTTGCTGCATCTGTTTTAGGACCCATCTTTTTAAGCAAGGGCCCAATACTAGACGTTGTTCTCGACTTTGATTTGGCATGGAGAAGAAATACTTTGGGTTTTTTTTTCAATTTCATTTATGGCTTTAAGTTCTTCCGCGATTCCTGACTCCTATAAGATTCCTTTAGCTTAAGTTCGATGATTGCTTTTCTCTGACCAGTGTCTCCTACGCATTTCAGATAATATTGACCCCTTTTAGCCGCTCTGTTATTCTTTTTTCCGTCGCCTGTAAAGAGAGCACCTGTCTCTTTCTATTTTACATCTACTCCTCCTTTTTCTTAGAGGAATATGTCTTGTGCATACATCGAGTGCCACCCAAATTAATCTGTTCTAGGCATAAGTTGGGGTTGTGTTGCTTAGTATATCTTCCCAGCTTATATCGGTTAGGACTTGGTTTAAATTGGTCCCACTTTATTTTTTTTTGTTACTGAAGTTGAACTTGGTGAATGCTCCCTCGTGACTAATCTCATTTTGTCGGTCTGGGGCTCTGCGCATACATGTCTGAACCTCAATTATGTTGTGATCTGAGTATACTGTTTTTGATATGGTGACATTTCTTATCAATCATCACTGTTAGTGAAAATGAGGTCTAGTGTATTCTCCCCTTCTAGTAGGCTCTATTATTTGCTGGTTTAAATTGAATTTTGTGCAGAGATTTAAAGCTAGTGTGAGTGTGAGTTTTCATCAGAGCTGCCTCCTGGTGTTATTACTGCAACAATATTATTTGCTATATTTCCTCCATTTTAGGTGCCTTAAGTTGAAAACCCCCAGGAGCAAGATGTTGGGTGCAGGAGCTGGGAAAATTTTTCCCCGACAGTGGTCAATTTTTAACAGCTGTTTTCCCGGAATTGCTGGGATGTTGCATCCGGAAGGCTTGTAGACTTTCCACAAAAGGGCTAGGTTTTGGTTCTCGACCTTTACTGCTAAAACTTCCACTACATCATTTGAGGCATTAAGCAGTTCTGTGCAAACAAGTGACTCTGCAATGTATAGGCCAACCCCCCCGTTTTGCCTGTTCACTCTGTCACATCTGTATAGGTTGTAACCTGGGATCCATATTTCGTTGTCTAAGTGATCCTTTATGTGGGTCTCAGTGAAAGCCGCGAACATTGCCTTTGCCTCTGCAAGCAGTCCATGGATGAAAGGTATTTTGTTGTTTGTTGCTGGCTTTAGACCTTGTATATTTGCAAAGAAGAATGTCATCGGACTGGTGGTATTGTTGGTACTGGGGGGGGGGGATTTTTTTTCCCGCATTAGTATCTGTATCTGTTGGTTTGGAGTGGAGGCCATCGACTGTGGTTCCACTCCAGGAATGACTGGATTTGGTGTACAATTTCTGCCATTTCCTGCCAGTTTTTTTTCCTTCCTCGCACTAAAAAACCTCTCCCTCTTGAGTGGCTGTGGCTACCCAGGTTTTCCCATGGCCTGGGTGTTTTGTATCTTTTTGTCCCCTTTAGATGGTGTGCCTGGCAATTTAAGTTATAGCACAGTCTTCCCTGTACTGAAGAGGTACACATTTCAGGGTGAAAAAGCTTACAGGAAGGGAGTTTGCATTTTCCTGTTGTCATATGGGCACGGCATTTTCTAGGGTGGTCATAGTTGCACGTCCCATCTGTTTTTCCAGATTTCCCATGTCTGCAGATACCAAGTGCATAGTATGTGCACAGGCTTGGTTTCCGTTTGCCTTGGGTTTCTGTGACTGTATTCCCTGTTGGTGCACACAAAGGCAGGACCAAGAGCCGAGACTTGACCCCTACAGCCACATACAGGTAAGTACACACAAAAAAGAGACAAGCACATACATGCATAAAACACACAATTTTTAAATTACCCAATTCCTCTTTAACTCTTAACTACATTTATGCTTACTTTTTTATTGGCTGACAAGTCTTGGTTGAAACGTACTAAGGCTTGAATACGTTTATCAGGGCCAATCCGCATGTACTGAGCAAGATCCTTCATCATACTGAAGTCAGACCTCATTTCCTCTGAAAGTCCTGTCATTAGACACAATTCTGGCACAAGATAAATGTAACCAAAACCTCTCCGTAAATCTCGTTTCTTCGGCTTTGACAAAAGCATTGGTTGCTTGGGATCACGAATCTTTACTTGATAATTCTGAAAGAAATAAATTGACATTTACACAATTCATGATAATAATGATTCCCACAATCAGAGTTCAGGATCGATCATGGCACAAGTGAAACATTGAGCATGTTTCCTTACACTTGCTACCCCCTATTCACCTAGCAGTAAGGAGGTACCAGAGTGTCAGCCAACTGCTGTGGGTTGCATCCTGGGGGATAAGATTAACCCTTTCAGGGTCCCCAGGCCCTCTCCCAGACTTGTTCTCTAGGTCGCCCAAATTTCAAAAAAAAAAAAAAACTTATAAAAAGATAGAGAATTTTTTCCCAATCGTAATGACACCAAAAGTATGAAATTTGATGGAAAACTTACGGAATTATGCTCTCGCGAAGTTAGCGGTCTCAACAATGTTTACGCATTGGTGATTTTGCCCACTTTGAGTCCTATTTTTGGACAATTCCAGTGTACTGGTCGACAAAAATCATAACTATTTCGCTAGAACTCCATTTTTTCTATCGAATGAGTACAAGAAACCACCCATTTACCGATTTCAACTATCCAATACACGTACAGTGGTCAGAATTTAGCAATTTTGCCAATTTCACACAAATTTCAAGAGATGCCAATTTCCAAATAGGGTAGAGAATAAACAAGAAAGACATTCCTGGCACTAAAATAACATTTCCTCTGTTCATTAGTCACGTCCCGCGCCCCTCTTACATTCTTTTGCTTTCCACTTTGAATTTTTATTCTCACAAAAAAATAGAAGATTTACTGTTATGCAGACTACTGCATTAGTGTAGAAATGGTATAAATAATATCGGCGCACTTGTGAAAGAATATTAGACTCACCAGTTGACATGTATTGGACCCTTAGCATTTGTTAATTTATTTATTTATTTATTATTTATTAATTTGAACATGATACATAGTAGTACAAATGAATACAGTTAAGTGCAACATGCCAAAGCCCCTTGTAGGCAGAGCATTATGGGCAGGCTTAAAATTAACTTAAGATTAATTAAGCAGTGACATATTCAGTGCTAAAACATTATTGTAAACAGATAATTTAGCACAAATGAGTATTACAAAGACAGGTCATATGGTCATTTACTGTTTTGCTGTGCATTCAGTAGAATGGAGTATTCTGTTAGGAAATGTAATTAAAAAATAACAAAGTTTGATTGGGTATCAGGTTAAACATTTATGAGATACAATTATGAGAAACATTTATGAGATACAATTTTTAAGATAAAATTATACAGTATTTATATGGTTGTGGGGGAGACAATTATTTAGTATTTATTTGGTTGTGGGTGAGTAAGTGATTTTTGAGAAGAGACTTTAATTTATAAACGGTGTTTCTTTTATATTTAAAGGTAATGAATTCCAGATTTTAGGGTCTTTTATGTGCATTGAGTTTTTGCATAGTGTCAGATGGACACGAGGAACATCAAAGAGTGATCTGTGCCTTGTGTTATGGTCATGTGTTCTGTTGAGGTTGGCAAGGAGATGTTTGAGGGGAGGGTTTATATCTGAGTTAAGTGTTCTATGCATGTAATAGGTGCAGTAATAAGTATGGATGTTTTGTATGGTGAGTAGGTTTAGGGTTTTGAATACTGGTGAAGTGTGCTGCCTGTAGTGGGAATTTAACATCATTCTGACTGCGGCTTTTTGTTGGGTAATTAGCGGTCTCAGATGGTTTATTGTTGTTGAGCGCCATGCACAAATTCCATAGGTGAGATGGGGGTAAATAAGAGAGTGATATAGGGCCAGGAGGGCTGACCGTGGAACATAGTACCGTATCTTCGATAGTATGCCTACGGTCTTGGAAATTTTCTTGGAAATTTGCTGATATGTGTTTGAAATTTGAGTCTATTGTCAAGGTGGATTCCTAAGAATTTTCCCTCTGAGTTTTGTGATAGGTGATCCATTTATCATTAAGAGGGACATCTGTAGCTCTGTTAAACTGAATGAAGAAGGTTTTGTCAATGTTTAGAGTAAGTTTGTTAGTCCTCATCAAGGTAGATGTTTTCTGTAATTCGGTATTTACAGTATTGGCTAGCATGACTGGGCTCGGGCGAGAGAAGACGTATGTAGTGTCATCTGCAAATAGTGTGGGTTTGAGTAGTTGCACTGCATTTGGTAGGTCATTTATGTATATGAGAAAGAGAAGACGGCCAAGGACGCTTCCCTGTGGGACACCAACTGTAATTGGCTGTGCAGAAGAGTTTGCCCCATTTGTGTACACACATTGGCTTCTGTTGCCGAGATATGACTTGAGGTAGTTGAGGGAGTGCCCTCTTATACCATAGTGCGACAATTTTATATGGAGCAAGTCATGGTCAACTGTATCAAAAGCTTTACTTAAGTCAATAAAGATCCCCAGTGGGACTTCTTTTTTCTCTATTGCAGTGTATATATGTTCTAGCATGTGGATAATAGCATCACTAGTATTTTTATTAGGCCTGAACTCAAACTGACAGGTGTTGAATATGTTTTGGGAGATGAGGTAGGAATAGATTCACTGATGAATTAATTTTTCGAAGATTTTAGAGAGAGGGTTTAAGTAGAATATTGGCCTATAGTTATTCAAGCCTGTTTGGTCTCCTCCTTTATGAATCGGGGTGACCCTTGCTATTTTGAGAACTGTAGGGAAGGTAGAGGATTCGATGGATGTTAAAGAGTGTTGCAATGATTGGTGATAGCACTTGTGATGCTTTTTTGTATATAAAGGGTGGTAAGGTATTTAAATCTCCTGTCTTGTTTTTTAGTGTGTTGATAAAAAGGGAGACTTCAGTTGGGTTAGTCGGAGCTAGGAACAGTGTGTTCGGGTAGTTGCCAGTGAGGTAGTCATTGGGTGGGGTATCTGAGCTTGAGATTTTATTGGCAAGGTTTTTTCCTATAGTGGAGAAGAAATCATCAAGTCTGCTGTTTCAGTTGGTGGGAGTTAGGGTTCATCTGATATTGTTAATTTAATTTCACTACTTCATGATATATTTTTTGTTCCTAGAATTTCTGATAGGGTTTTCCAGGTCTTTTTTATATCACCTCGTAAGTTGGATAATCTGTTCTCATAATACAATTTTTTAGCCCTTCTTATCAGGTTGGTTAGGACTGACGAGTAACTTTGCTTGGTCTCTGGTTATGCGACCCATTCTGTACTGTTTTTCATATAGGTGCTTTGTATTTATGGATTTGAGGATGCTGGGTGTTAGCCAGGGACTGTTCAGTCTCTTAGCTGTCATCTGTTTAGCTTTTTTAGGGCAGTGCTTGTTATAGAGGTATTGGGTCTTTTTTAGAAAATTATTAATACATTCGTCAATATCTGTATAGCTTTCTAGCTCAGTGTGCCAGTCAATGTTTGTCACTGCTGCTGTGAAGTTATTAATAGCTGCCTCACTGTGAAGTATGAAAGTGACTTTAGTAGTGTCTTGGGGTAATTTGCTAAGATTTGTTATGAGGAAGGTAGGGTAGTGCTCTGTGGTATTATCTGTGATTATGCCTGATTTTAAAGGGGATATGGTGTTGGTCCAGATGTGGTCTAGTAGGGAAACACTAGTCTCTAACTCTTGTAGGTTTTGTTACTGTTGGTAGCAACATGCAGTTACTCATTGTGTTTGTGAATTCAGTAACGTGTGGGTCCTGGTCTTGCAGGAGATTTATGTTGAACTCACCTGAGAGTAGTAAGTGATCTTTGCTCATGCGTGCATCAGTTATCATACTTCCTAGGTTTTCACTGAAATGGCTAATGTTAGACTGTGGTACTCTGTACATGTTTATCACTGACAGGTTTTTGTAGGTATTTGGATTTGAATTTAGCTATTATATATTCCCCATGTTCATCCCTTGTGCAAATATTAGTGATACATTCTAGCTGGTCTGAGTAGTATATAGCTGTGCCACTCCCTTGTTGATCTGGCCTACAGTTGTGTATGGCTGTGTAACCAGGAATGGCATAGACATCTGTTGTATAAGGCTTTAGCCAGGTTTTGGTTAGAGTAATGATGGATATACTGGCATGAAGGGAATTTAGTAATGCTATGAGGTCATCGTAATGTTTGCTTAAAGATCTGATATTGTAGTTAAAGACAGTTGTTGTTGCTGGTTCTGAGTGCCTTTGATTGTTCTGTTGTGTAGTAATTACAGTTACTGCTTGATTCATTTAAGTCATTCAATAAGAAGTTGGTATCAGGATCAATGCTTGTAATCATAAGATTTATAGTGAATCTATAGTTAGAATTAAGTATAAGACAAAGTAAATATTCTAAAGCTATAAAATAGCACCCGAATTATTTTAACAAAAGTAAAAATATGAGCTAAGGTAGTTCTTTAAAGCTAAAATAAAGGAGACAATATAAAGGGACTAAAATAATTTGTGGTAAACAAATAGTGGTAATCAAATAAATGAACTAGGGAATATAATGGTAAAATAGTGAACTTATTACACTTTAGCACCTGAGAATATCACCTTGAATATTTAAACATTTGTGAATATATGAACTAAGGTAGTTATATAAAGCTAAAATAAGGGAGAAAATATATAAGGGACTAAATTAAGTAATGGTAAACAAAGTTAAATTGACAGATAGTCACTATGATATAATATTGATTTGGGAGTAAGATCTGATTTGTAATATATAATAAGTTGAGCAATTTATTGTACTATAAAAAGTAAAAATAATATGAGGTAGTTGGTACTAGCTAGCAAAAGAAAGTTTTGGAACTTGAACAATAATGTAATTGGAATATACACTAATTGCACACACAATATAGTCACTAAGATATGAAGAATAATCAAAGAGTAGGATTTGCCTTATAGCATAAAGTTTGAGCAATTAATATCACTATAGGAATATCATTTGAGGTAGTTGATACTAGCTAGTGAGTTTGTTATTTGTAGTTTGGGAGAAAAGGGGAAAAAAAAGGTATGGTTATAAGAGAATTTTAACAGTGCTTAAGTAGGAAAGAAAATGGTAATACAGATATTATTAAAGAGTGTCTTATTATCAAATAATAATTTGTGAATTGGAAATCTGGGAAGATACGTTAAATTGGGTCACCCAAAGAACTGTGTGGGACACCTGGGATAATGAGGTAGTAAAATACTATCTAGGAGGTGATAGTACAGGGATTAGTTCAATAATGACATAATAACATACACTAACATAGTAAGGATTTGGTCACTAATATCAGTCAGACTCTGTAATGTTTACTTTTGAACTTCGGTAAAAATCGAACATTTCTGCTATTTTGAGTTCAATTTCAAGGTACTTTTCATTGTTTTACCAGTCAAAATCATCTCAGTTTCTGTAACATGTCTTCCATTCTATAAAATGAGACCAGGAAAACTAGAATACAACAATAAATACCATACGAAAATACAGTGCAAAGTCGCTGTTTTAATCCAAAAACACGGTCCAAGTTTTTTTTTTTCTCATTACACACTGTGCTGCAAGATTTTTTTATACTGTGCACACTGACCACACAGGCCCATTCTTTCATATGTAGGCCTACCAGCTTTCTCTCATTAGATTTGAGGGCGCTAGAATTTAGGCGTACTAGTACGTTAAAAACCCTGGTGCGTAAGCCGTACTAGTACATCCGAAAGCCTGAAAGGGTTAATGTAAGTTGTCGGAAATGCTCTGTATAACCAGGGACTTTCTATATAGTACATCAATGATGTCAATTAGGTCTATATCAGTTGTATCATGTACTTTAGAAATAAAGATTATTTTCTTTTTTCCACATACCAACCATCTCCTACTAAGGCAGGGTGACACGAAAAAGAAAACTATAAAAGTTATCTTCTTTTCTCATTTAGTAATTTTCACAGAAGGGGTTACTAGCCCCTTGTTCTCAGCATTTTAGTCACCCTAATGACACACATGGCTTACAGAGAAAACATTCTCTTCCACTTTATCCTGGAGATGAAAGGAAATGAATGTGAACAAGAACTATTAAGAAAACGGAAGAAAACTCAAATGGGTGTGTTATTAAAATCATCCCAAAAACAGATGGGTATACTTACCATGTTAAGCCAAGGGATATATGACTAACAAGTGACAATACTTGAAAAAAAAAAAAACTGAAGAGTTTATCTGGAGAGGGTTTTGGGGGTCAATGCCCCCCGAGGCCAGGTCTGAGACCACGTAAACACTGTAAACTTCAAGAAGTCTAGACACGCATGATACGAGGCAAAAACTAAGCTCATCAATCCTAAGTGCAGGAAAGATAAGATTAATTTCTGCTTTCGTTGAGTAATGAACCTATAGAATAACAGACATACCCACTACAGATATACCCACTACAGATATACCCTACTACAGATGTCTATGCCATTCCTGGTTACACAGCCATACACAACTGTAGGCCAGATCAACAAGGAAGTGGCACAGCTATATACTACTCAGACCAACTAGAATGTATCACTAATACTTGCACAAGGGATGAACATGGGGAATATATAATAGCTAAATTCAAATCCAAATACCTTCAAAAACCTCTCACAGTGATAAACATCTACAGAGTACAACAGTCAAACATTAGCCGTTTTAGTGAAGACCTAGGAAGTATGATAACTGATGCACGCATGAACAAAGATCACTTACTACTCTCAGGTGACTTCAATATAAATCTCCTGCAAGACCAAGACCCACACATTACTGAATTCACAAACACAATGAGCAACTGCATGTTGCTACCAACAGTAACAAAACCTACAAGAGTTACAGAGACTAGTGTTTCCCTACTAGACCACATCTGGACCAACACCATATTCCCCTTAAGATCAGGCATAATCACAGATAATACCACAGACCATTACCCTACCTTCCTCATAACAAACCTTGGCAAATTACCCCATGACACTACTAAAGTCACCTTCAGACTTCACAATGAGGCAGCCATTAATAACTTCACAACAGCAGTAACAAACATTGACTGGCACACTGAGCTAGAAATCTATACAGATATTGACGAATGTTTTAATAATTTTCTCAAAAAGACCCAATACCTCTATAACAAGCACTGCCCTAAAAAAACTAAACAGATGACCAGCCGGGCTGTGGCTCGTACGTTGGTTTGCGTGCAGCCAGCAGTAACAGCCTGGTTGATCAGGCTCTGATCCACCAGGAGGCCTGGTCGCAGACCAGGCCGCGGAGGTGTTGACCCCCAGAACTCTCTCCAGGTAAAGAGACTGAACAGTCCCTGGCTAACACCCAGTATCCTCAAATCCATAAATACTAAGCACCTATATGAAAAACAGTACAGAACAGCCACATAACCAGAGACCAAACAAAACGTTACTCGTCAATCCTAACCAGCCTAATAAGAAGGGCTAAAAAATTGTACTATGAGAACAGATTATCCAACTTACATGGTGACATAAAAAAGACCTGGAAAACCCTATCAGAAATACTAGGAACAAAAAAGATAACACGAAATAGCGAAATTGAATTAACAAAACCAGATGAACCCCAATTCCCACCAACTGAAACAGCAGACTCAACGATTTCTTCTCCACTACAGGAAAAAACCTTGCCAATAAAATCCCAAGCTCAGATACCCCACCCAATGACTACGTCACTGGCAACTACCCGAACACACTGTTCCTAGCTCCGACTAACCCAACTGAAGTCTCCCTTATTATCAACAAACTAAAAAAACAAGACAGGAGATTTAAATATTTTGGCCGGGAATTCTAAAAATGTTTATTCAAAACCCTATTTTGAAATTTGGGAATATTTTGAACTTTGTGTTAAATTGGCCAAATTACCAATTTCCGGCCCACTTTATTTTGTAGTTGAAACATTTTGATTTTGACGATTTCTTGTGCTCAAATCGATAAAATTTAGAAGTAATATTTAGTTGCAATAGCTGAGAATTTGGTCGACTGGAATAATGTAATTGGCCAAAAATGGGAGTCAAAGTCAGCAAAATCGTCCGATTCGTAAATATCGCTGACACATCAAAATTCACGAGAGCAAAATTTTGTCAATTTTCCATCAAATTTCGTACTTTTTGTTTTATTACAAAAAGATTCTCTACCATTTCATGAGAAAAAATATTTTTTTTTTTTTTGAAAATTCTTGGACACTGGGGCACCACTTCAGATATTGGCCTTGGACCCTGAAAGGGTTAACTAAAGACAAATTTAAATTCTACTTCAAGACAATTAGAAGCAAATCAGAAAAATTATGACTGGTATAATTTATAAACAGCAAATAAGAAAATTAATGGCAATCTCAGGAATTGCATTAGAATGTTTCAGGGGGAAATACTTCTGCTTACTACTATACATTACCTTTTCATAGTATTCCATATATGTGATCTCTCCCCCTTTGTAGGGAAATCTAGAGGTAGGATTTATATTCCAATCCAGGTCATCCACTCGATAAGTTCTCTCATTGTACCTGGTCATCACAATGGATCCCAGTAGTTGTCTGGAAGCTTCACTTTTCTGCATAAAAAATTGTATAAAAGATAATTAACGTGTACTACTGCAGGAGCGATTGGTGGAATGATGATGTGAAGAGAGTAGTAAGGGAGAAAAAGTTAGCATATGAGAAGTTTTTACAAAGTAGAAGTGATGCAAGGAGGGAAGAGTATATGGAGAAAAAGAGAGAGGTTAAGAGAGCGGTGAAGCAATGTAAAAAGAGAGCAAATGAGAGAGTGGGTGAGATGTTATCAACAAATTTTGTTGAAAATAAAAAAAGTTTGGAGTGGGGATTAACAAGTTAAGGAAGCCTAGAGAACAAATGGATTTGTCAGTTAAAAATAGGAGAGGAGAGTTATTAAATGGAGAAGTAGAGGTATTGTGGAAGATGGAGGGAATTTTTGAGGAATTGTTAAATGTTGATGAAGACAGGGAAGCTGTGTTTTTCATGTATAGGGCAAGGGGGAAAATAACATCTTGTAGGAGTGAGGAAGAGCCAGTTGTGAGTGTGGGGGAAGTTCGTAAGGCAGTAGGTAAAATGAAAGGGGTAAGGAAAGCCAAGATTGATGGGAAAAGTTAGAAATGTTAAAAGCAGGTGCGGATATAGTTTTGGAGGGGTTGGTGCAATTTTTTAATAAAGTATGGAAGAGGTAAGTACCTAGGGAATGGCAGAGAGAATGCTAGTTCTTTTGAAAAGGCAAAGGGACAAAAGAGAGTGCAAAAATTAAGGGGGATAAGTCTGTTGAGTAAAACCTGGTAAAGTGTATGGTAGAGTTATTATTGAAAGAATTAAAAAGTAAGACGGAGAATGGATAGCAGATGAACAAGGAGTTTAGGGAAAGGTAGGGTGTGTGGACAGGTGGTTTACAGTGAGACATACAAAGTGAACATTATTTAGAAAAGGCTTAAAGAGGTTTTGTGGAATTTATGGATTTGGGAAAAGGCACATGGAACAGGGTGGATAGGGGGCAATGTGGCAGATGTATGGTTTTAGGAGGCAGGTTACGAAGCAGTGAAGAGTTTTTACGAGGAGTGAGGTCAAGTTAGAGTATGTAGGAAAGAGGAGATTATTTCCCATAAAAGTGGGCCTTAGACAAGAATGTGTAAGTCCTGTGGTTGTTAATATATTTAAGATGGGGTTGAAAAGAGAAGTAAATGCGAGGGCTTGCAAGAGGCGTGGAGTTAAAAGAAATGAATCCACAAATTGGGATTTGTCAACAGTTGCTCTTTGCTGAGACACTGTGCTCTTGGGAGTTTCAGAAAAAGAAGTTGCAGAGGTGGGTGGATGAATTTGGGTAGGTATGCAAAGAAGAAAATTAAAATGAATACAGAAAGAGTAAGGTTATGAGGATAACAAAAAGGTGGTGATGAAGATTTGGTTATCAGATTGGAGGGAGAAAGATGGAGGAGTAATGTATTCAGATATTTGGGGAGTGGACGTATAAGCGGGATGGGTCCTATGAAAGATGAGGTGATCATAGAATAATGGGGGAAAAGGTTGAGCAGTGCATTTAGGTCTGTGGAGACAAAGAACTTTGTCCTTTGGAGGGAAAGAGGGGAATGTAAGAGTTAGTTTTACCAACGCTCTTATTTTTTGGGTTGAAGCAGGGTGATGGAATGTTGCAGCGGGAAAGAAGGCTGAGGCGTGGAGATGTCATGTCTGAGGCAATGTGTGGTGTGAATATAATGCAGAGAATTCATAGTTGGAAGTTAGGAGGAGTGCGGGATTACCAAAACTGTTGTTCCAGAGGGCTGAGGAAAGGGTTGTTGAGGGGTTCCAGACATACAGAGAGAATGGAGCGAAACCAGAATGACTTCAAGAGTGTATCAGTCTTATGAAAGGAAGGCGGGTAGGGTTTCGGCCTGGGAAAGTTGGGAGGGAGGGGTAAAGGAGGTTTTTGGCGAGGGGCTTGGCTTCCAGCAGGCCTGTGGAGCGTGTTTGATAGGAGGGGATGGAACAAATGGTTTTTAAAACTGACTGCGTTGGAGTGTGAGCAAAGTAACATTTATAACGCTGTTGTGTTAAACAGCAAACACCCTCCCACCCACATACCAAGAACCTGCCGGAGAAAAACCCTACAACTTATCAAGGACCACCTTCGCCTTAAAACATACGTAGTGATGACCTAAAGATTCAAACTGAGGGCTACCAGCAGGTAAAAAAACAGTGCTGTTAAAATTCCAAACTAGCCTACAAGAAACAACCTACTAAAAACATCTATTTCTATGAAACTGATGTTTACGTCAATGGTCCCTTTAAACCAAAACAAACAAAACCCTTTTCTTTTCGCTAAGAAAATTCGCTATGCCCAAAAAATACCCCATGCTTTGTGAGGGATAAATCGCATTAGGAAACACCCACTGGAAGAGATATTCATCTCTACAGAACACGACCTTAAAACATTCCTAAGTGAGGCTGGACAAACGAATAAGTAAAGAGCAATAATACCCACAGTCCACTGTTAGTGTTTATTGTCATAATTTTTGCCCCCCTAATTTTAATACCCCAACTACTTTTGATTGTCATTGTTGTATTTCAACGACCATTTACCTCATAGTCTTAATTGTGTTTAATATCTACAATCTTTCCTTTTTTACAACTTACCGATCACTGTTCCTTTTTTTTATTATAATTACCTAATTGTCCTCAATAATTCTACCTCACTTTAAGAAATACTCAATTGCCCCAATTTTATTCTAAAATCCCTTTTTATTGCCCAATTTTGCTTTAAAACTATATTGATCAAACTTATTGTAAATTTTCTTTTATTGACCATTTTTATTCTATATTTTTTCTAAACTAGTATTTTCAATTACAACTTTATTACAAATCCTGTCTACCATCTTACTAGCATATTATAACCAAGTCATTCCCATTTTTATTTTTATAATTTTTTTTATTATTCTTTTGCTACCTAATTGTGTATTTTATCCTGTCAATTTAAATCTAGTTATACTCTTAATTCTTGTAAACAACTTATATAAGACCTTAGTGCAATTACAATTGAGAGTCTTGTGCCTTTTTTTTTATTATTAGATTAAACTCAGTTGTACTATAGCTCATTCTAACTCAATACATATCAATACCAAATTCACTATATTAGACCAATAGTGCAATTACTAGTGAGAGACTGGTGCTATTTTTAATTTGTTTTTTTTATATTATTAGTTTAAAACCTAGTTGTACTATAGCTCATTCTAGCTCAAAACATAGACTCCACAAAAGTCATTATATTAGACTTAGTGCAATTACAAGTGAGAGTCTTGTTCTATTTTTAATTTGTATTTTAAATTACTAGTTTATACCTAGTTGTACTTCAGTTCATTCCAGCACAACACATAGACAACATCAACTTCATTATGTGTAGTAGGGGATATACTCTATATAAACCAAAATACTCTAGCTATATACTTGTCCAAACTTCCTCCCAAACTACAGATATCAGTAACTAGAACTCAACAACAACTCAGGATATAAATAACCATAATTTAAACCTAGAAGATGATTGATCACGTTGACCCTGATCTAAACCTCCATGATCTGACACCCAATCAACACCTATTGGAAAGTAACTGCCTTTATTACACAGCATCACAAGCCAGCACTATCCTAAACAATGCTAAAAGTCTATCAGTACTTAACTACAACATCAGGTCCTTAAGCTAACACTATGATGACCTCCTAGCACTCCTTGAATCACTAAAGACACCCTTCTCCTGCATTATCCTTACTGAGACCTGGCTTAACCCTTTCAGGGTCCGTCCCGTTGATCAACGGCTTTACGTTGAGTGTCCAAACCGTAGATCACGCCAAAATTCTAGCCCCGCAAATTTAGCGCAAAAAAGCTCATGGGCCCCTACATGTGAGAGAACGGGTCTGCGTGGTGGGTGTGCGCCATAAACAAAAAATCTAGGGCCCGCATAGCATTGTTGGGAACGCCGGTTCGTTACCCTTGTTCACCATGCCTCGCGCAAGTCAGCTCTCACTCCCCGGAAAAATTGGGACTCTCCTCTTCCTTTTCTGATAGTTCTGACACTGATGGAAGTGGAAATGAAGACAAAATTCAAACGGCTTTGATCAGTTAGTGCCCGAAAAGAATGACCAGGATATCGATAATAGTGCAGAAAACCCTGACGATCCTCAACCTTCTACCTCTGGTGGGCACTCGTGACTCACGGTCGGTTGTTCCTCACGCAAGAGAAAACTATATTTTCGCGTGGCCAGGCCTCTGACTTCAGTAATGATGATGATAGTGAGTTGGACTGTGATTTTATTGCGCTCGACGATCAATCGAGTAGTGATAGTGAGAATCACATTCACCAGTGAAGCGTCGGTATGTTCGCCCCCGCATGCGCTCGGTAGTGTACCCTATGCTGTGCCCAGGACGGAGTACACCCCGGAGTACATCCCGTGGCCCAACACCAGTTTTGGGTAGTGATAGTGGGGATGATGTGGCTACACTTGGCATGAAGACCACAGGCATCAGTGGATGGTGTTAGTGGTGATGGTAGTGGCACCGCCATGCGTGACTCACAAAGGCCACGCTGGGACCCACGCTGCTGACTCATCAGTTCAAGGAAAAAAGCGGAGGCCACCACCAGCCCCCACACCACCCCGCACAACCAGCCTATGATGTCCAGTATCCCCAGCAAACCGAAATGGGGGATTGGGCAGCAAATCCCAATTTTGTTCCCAAGACTCACCACTCTGATGATTCTCAAAGTGGAATTCTACCTACTTGTCCCCTTGGAACCACAGCCAATGAACTGGAATTCTTTGACCATTCATTGATGGAAATTATTGTCAGGGAAAGTAATAAGTATTTTGAGTACACCATGGCAAATACGATCTTATCACCACAGTCAAGACTACACAGTGGGAAAGAGACGACTGTTGCAGAAATGTATTTGCTTTTTGCAACAATAATGCTTATGCCTCACGTCTATAAGCATAATATAAAAGCATACTGGTCCACAGATCGGCTAATTTCTACCCCGGTCTTCAGTGAAATCATACCAGTGAA